ATATTTCACCTTTGCATACTCAGCTAACCCTCAGGAACAGTTTGAGTTTTTAATTAGGTTTGCTGAAAAGCAAACTGGAAAGCTGTGTATTGGAGAACAATCTTTGTCTAGCCCCTCGGTACAGATTCAAGTTAAACTCCTCTGCTAGGTATCTCTGTCTTTCTAGAAATTAACCCGATTCTCAAAGCTTTAGCTAATTTCTTTGTACAATGCAGTAAGTCACATAACTCTAATTATATGATTAAAATTGTACAAAATTTTTACTATACAAAACCTAATAAGGAGGAAGGATATCATATATTTTCACTACTTGTTAATATGCATATGGAAGCTTTACAAATTTCTTGATTGTAAACCTTAGTCTTTCTGAGAAACAAATGGCTTGTGTGTAACTAGCAAAGTTGATAACTCTATCCTAGGTGCATGCCAGTATTTTATTTCAAAAATCCTATCGAAATCAGTAGACATTGTGGATGACCGGGGGGATCAACATAGGCTCTCCTGATTGTACTTTTATTCCATTCATTTAAACCTACAGGCACTTTACCTGATCTGTAGCATAAGTTATGTTCTGTAATGGGAAGTGATCTTTCTGATATACCACAGATAAAAATATTTTCCCCTGATTATGAAGTAGACTCACACGTAGTTCTACTTTTCTAACTAAAAGAGGTTTGGCTTTGTGACCTTTACCAGTGATCCCATTTTTCCTCCATTTGTTTATTAGTTCACTTCTGTTACTTTGGCTTTACGAAAGGTGAAAGCCCAGTTTGTTGTGCTTGTTTTCTACTTTCTACAGTCTCTGGGGGCTTTGCAGACTCTCTGTAAGTTGCTCTCATCTCTTAGTTTCTTTTACGTTTATCTTGAAAATTTATTTTTTTTCAATTGCATTTTATCTTATTTTACTGGATGAGTCATGCAAATCACATATATCCTCTTTGGAATAAGGTAGAATGCTAAGGAGAATTAAATTTAGCCTCATGAGACATAAAAGCATCTAAAATACTATTTATCACTTTGCTGATAAAAATGGAATTTTCTAATGGACACATATGGGTGGATTCATTTCTCACCAGCAGCACAGGGTGAGATAAACTGTGTATAAGTGTGAGAACGACAAGAATCATAAACATGATTCAGAGAATAAAGGATGGACTTTTGCTGACCAAAGTAGCCTCCCAAGTAAAAGTGACCAACACCTTAGACCAATACTTGTGCTGATCTATAAAAACAATAAACCATTCTCTTTGGTGAACATCTATATTATATAACAGGATGTGTATCACTCATTTAAACTGTGTGAAAAATAGTGTTAGATTAGATTCAAAGAGAGAAGAACTTCAAATAGTACAAAGGGGCCCTAAATATTTTAGAAACCTCTACAGAGAATACATAGAAAAGCAGTGCCATATGGTTTTTTTTTTCCATACACACCTGTGTAATGGGAAATATTAAGTGGTTTGTTACCTTTTACATTTCTCCGAAAAGGAGCTGGTATAGTTTTAACTTAATGCATTATGAAATGGGTCCATTTATCATGGAAACATAACATTTCATAATTTTCATAATGGTGGACCATCATGGACATTAAAAAAAATAAACCAATTTGAGGGCCTCAAAATATGAGCCATGGGAGCATTTTAGCTCCAAGTCATAACAGCTTTGGATAAAACTGAACAGCATTTATCTCTTATTTATAAAAAAAGCACAGTGAAATATAACTTAATGTGAAAAAATGGTATTTCATTAATATGTGCTGAATTTGTGTTTTATTTTCATGTGTGACTTTAGTGTATTTTTTTACAGCTATTGCATTCCTATAAATGAAAACATGTATTTTTAAAAATGGCATTACTGAAATGGCTACACTTCATTATCTGATAAAATTAGTTCATTTATGATAATTCTCCCATGATAACTTCTTTAGTTTCAACTATTCTCTATGGAAGCTATACTTATAGAAAATTAGTATGCTACTGAAAATATGTATAATAATTTAACTGTGGGATACAGCCACTAAGAAGAACCATACAACTGAAGGAATTTTTAGAGTAGGTGGTGAATACAATATGGGAAATAACGTTTTGTGAATTTCTTTTCATCTTACTGAAGATCTTGAAGTCATTATAAAGGCGTGTAATGTCTTTAAAAGGCATGTAAAGTCATTAAAAAGGCATGTGATCACTTATTTTCTGTTTTCTTTGTTATATTTTGTGCTTTGATTTCAGCGTATCAGAGAAGTTTATTTAACTATTCTCTTATCTTAACTACTGTATCTTCCACAAATTTGAATTAGTTCCTTGTGTTTCTGTCTTATTGAAATTATCAGTACTTAGCTACATAACATAGGTCAGTTTATTATTACTTTCATTGTCAAATTTACTGCAAGAAAATAAGAACACCAATTCAATGTAGCTAGCACTTTTGCTGTATTCGAAATTTAACCTTCAATGTCTAAACCAAGTGTTTGTGTGTGTGTGTGAACTTGCATGTGTATATACAGTAATGAATAAGTCTCTATCTGGAAGACATAGACATCAGGACACAGAGTTTAGTTTATTGGTCCAAAGCTTCTTAGTCAGGCTAGAGCTTGACTGGAGATACTGAATTCAAATGAACTCAATACTTTCCCTCAAGACCAAATCTTCATTACACTGATTTTTTTTTAAAGCAACTGTAAGTGCCAACACTTAGCATATGTAGCTTCATATTTTACTTCTCAAGAGACTCTTGAATTCTCATCCTGGAAATAGGTATCTTAGCTAGATTTCCAAATTATGTTTTATAAACTTATTTCACAGATGCATTTTAGGTCCCATATGAAGGGAAAATGTTATATTTTATTACTAAACAAAGTTGTCCAAGTTACAATTGCATCACAAAAATTATCAATAGAATTTAGTAGAGCCATTTAAATTCATTCCAGGGAATGTAAGGATTCATATTTAGCCTCAAACAGCTAAAATTTACTGCGTATTCTTTTCCTGACACTGCTAGTAGCTGTTAAACCAAATCTCTCTCTCTCTTCCTCCCTCTCCCCTCTCTCTCTTTACAAAATCTTTCCCTTTACAAAACAGCTATAGCAGATCTTTAGACTCCCAGTTTGTATTGATTTCATGCTTACCAAGGAAACTTTGAATTATATTCTAGTTTCAAAATGGGTCTACCTAAAGAAAAAAATTAAAGTGATAGTCACATGAAATTCAAGTTTTCCACTATGCTTTCCCTTATTTGCAATAACTAGTATATGTCTGACACAAGCAGAAATGGTCAGATAAGTTGATGTTAGGAGAAATGAATCCCAAGATAAGGAATCAAATGGCTTTTGTTTCTTGAGATTGTTTCTACAAGATTGTTTCTAACATATTTATAAGATGATTTCTTTGTTGCTTTGTATGTCCCTCCCCCACAGTATAACCCCTGTTTTCACTGTATTTGATGTTGGTATACTTTATGGAGGGAAAGGGAACAAACAAATTGTTTAAATAGGGATACAGATGGACCCATTGAACAATGAGATGTACAAAACGTTATATCGAAAAACGAACTTTACAACTTTGGCGGAGTGGAGGGGAGGGATGGTAAGGGGAAACAAAGGAGGAGGCAACAATGCTTGATAAGAAATGTACTCATTACCTTGCCCATGTAATTGTAACCCCTCTGTAAGGTATTTTCACAATAAAAAAGAATATGTTGAACCATTTAAAAAACCACAAAAATACCATAAAAAGATCTGCATTTTCTCATGGGAAATACAGAAAATGGCTTTAGTGATAAAGGGACTTACTATGTAAGAATTTGTACAAGGAATGGGTATGTTACTGGTTTTGATTCCTGGAAGAACAATTCTTATGTTCAGTTATGTACTGGCACTCTGTGCAATATGTCCATAGGTGAATCCCCATTGTTGAATCAGATCCAATAGCTATTAGCATTATATATCCATCATCTGATAGTGTATTTTCAAAAGGTGATAAAAGATAATTCTTCTCAGGAAAAATCTAAACCAACACAGGATTTGAAAAACTCTTTTGAAAGAGGAATAAGGCATGAGAAAGACAATCTGTTTGACAATTGCTTTTAGTGTTGGACAACTGAAAATCAAAACCTGAAATGTAATAATTGCACACCTAGCAAAACCACTCATGTTGTAATTCATGCCTATTGCATTTCATTTGACATAAATTCTTAAAGATAAATGATCTCTTTGTAGCCTTTTCTGGAAATTTACAAGTGAGGATATTTTCTTGCACAGCAGCAAGTTTATGGCTCCCATTTATTATTAGCTGAAACCAATTAAGACAAACATTAATAAATGACAAATATGAAAATGATAAGTGATGTCAGGCTTGATTAAGAGAGTTAGGAAACAAATGACAAAAGTATTTTTGATAAGCCCTGACAGTAACAAAATATTAAAGAAGAGCAAGTTAATAAATGACAAACTCAATCAGAGTCAACAATATTCCATTCTTTCATATTACCTGTCCAATTCTAAGGAGGAAGGGGAGCATGCTGTATATTTTAGAATAATAAATAACATATTATTCAAAATTACCCTTCATTTTTGTAAAAAAAATCTCAAGTAATCTAAACATATGACAGCAAAAATTAGCTTGTTTTATGGGCAGGCCAGATTGCTGATTTAAAAGAAAATAAGCCTTTTGTATTATTATCTGAGATTGCACACCAAGGTATATATTCAAATCAAAGATCTTATGATTTCTTATTTATAGTAGTTTTTAGTTTTGGGGATGCATGCACCAAAACATTCTCAGTTTAATTATTGAAATTTGGGAAGTTTGAATTATCTTTGAAAATTATTCAAAGATACCCTTATGACATATTTTCAATGAAGCTATGTAGCTTGTTAAAAATAAACCCAATTATCCCAGGGAACTTTTTTGAAAATATATGTGTAACATGAATATTGCAATTTTTAACATTGTTTAAATTTAAATCGTAATCATATGAAAATAAAATGAAGCAAAATCCATTACTCTGTAAGATCTTCTATCTTTTTTTCCACTAATGTAGGGGGTACATTGGAAACAATGACTTGCATGTCCAGCTGATTGACCACAGAAACCTGAAAAAAAAAAGAGAAATAAACAGAATTAACTTTTACTCAACAAAATTTTTATAACAAAAATAGTATTTCTTCCCGGCTACAAAGTGAAAGGATAAATAGTTCTCATTTTCAAGATATGAGGTTTGATGGGCACCCGTGGCTCATGCCTGTAATCCTAGCTACTCAGGAGGCTGAGATCTGGGGATCACGGTTCAAAGCCAGCCCTGGATGGAAGGTCCATGAGACTCTTATCTCCAATAAACCATCAGAAAACTGGAAGTGGCACTGTGGCTCAAGCGGTAGAGCTCTCGCCTTGAACTGAAGAGCGCAGGGACAGCATCCAAGCCCCAAGACGGACAAAAAATATAGATAGATAGATAGATAGATAGATAGATAGATAGATAGATAGATAGATAGATAGATAGATAAGTAGATCGATCTGATGTTTACAATCTTCAGAATGATTTTTCTCATGAATGCATTTTTAATATCTTGTCATGGTCATTTAGAAAATACCAGTTTCATTCTTTCTTTCAACTGATGACATATTTCATTGCATAATATCAATAAAATACATAGCCTTTAATGTGATCACCATTCGAATCAGAAATGTTTTAAAGTAATGGAAAGCTGTCAAATTTAGGGTGGTAACTATGTCTTCTAATGTTCTAACGAGTTGGAAAGCTTCACAGGTGTCATTAGTATTCAATATTGGCAGCTGTTTTTCTTCAAATGGCAGGGTAACTTCATTTTTGTGTAAATGACTGTCATATTTGAATGAAGATACTCTCCCCCCAAAAATGCGCTTTGAAATAAAAATTCTACTCCATGACAAAGTTTGGCAGTTTAATGTGCCTTCTTTTCTGTGGAGGAATCATACATTTCAATTCATGAGACAAACTATTGAAAAGGTATTTAGTCAGGTTTGATAGATGATTGATAGGTAAATAGGTAGAGAGATAAAAGAAACATAGACAGATTGTTAGATGTTAGAGAGAGTGTGTGTAAGAGAGAGATGTGTAACATCATTCACTAAGGGAGAGAACATAGGTTTAGAAGAGAAAAGAGTCAAGAATAATCCGGTTCACCAGATTTACATGTCTTGTATTCAGGAAAGAGACCTGGGATAAATATGTAGTTTATTTGTACTTGAAGTTGTGGTACTAAGTGAGCTTACCAAGTCACTGAAAGAGGATGGAGAAGACAATAAGATTAAGACCCAAGGAACCTTGAGATACAAGATTAAAAAACTGAAACAATAAAACAAATTAAGAAATAATATCAGTGAAGTGCAAGAGTGTAGCTGCCTGAAAGCCTAGTGAGGGTGATAATCAGCTTGGACCTTTACTGCTGGTTCAAAAGATATTAGGACCAAAGGTTCTAGTGAATTAGGTAACATAGACATATTGGTAATCTATGACTGTTGAGTTTATGCTTAGCACATGATTAAAAGAGGGGAGAAATTAAAGTCAACTATAATATGGAATCCTTTTTTTGAAAAAAGAAGCTCAGAAATAAATCATTGCTAAAAGATGTAGGTCCAAAAGACTTTCAATATTTCTGGAAAGTAGAAATAAAAAAGTTCAGTTGTGGGAATAATCAATCATATCAAAGAAAGAAAGAAATTAATGCTGACAAAGTCAAAAGTCAATGGGAACACCACTGAAGCCATGTCTTGGGCTGGTAAGTGAAAACTGAATCAATAACAAGTGGAAATATTGGAGGTCTGATAAAAGCTTAGACATTGTCAGGAAAATTATTAGAGATACGGAGAATAACTTTGGCTCTTAATACACTGAGATGTGATTGACTCCGACTCAAGATTTGGGAGTTAAGAGGGGTCAGTGAATGACAAAGTGAGATAAGGAGGATAAAGGCTGGACATATTGAAAATGGAGGATTTAGTAGTAAAACTATCATACACTGAATACTACTCTGTTAGTATGTGGTATGAAATCTGTCAATCATAGAAACAAAAAAGAATGCAAACAGAATCAACTGCTTAGGAAAGAAACAGTAAAAACACTGTCCTCAGGGAAGTAATAGGTATTAAGGAATTGATAAGTATCTGAATTTCAAGATCTCATCTTCCATTCTTATGAAAAGCTTTCAGTGTCTGCCTACTGATTTTAAGGAAAGTTCTGATGTTTTCATATGGATTACATGTTTTATATGAACCTTCTATTTCAGGCTCTAGCTTTATTCCTCATTCTGTTTCTCTCTTAAACTCTTTTAGGCTGAGTAAATACCTATGACTTAGTCAAGCCTGTCAATATCCTCTCTTTCTTCTTGGTTCCGCACACATTTTACTTCCTGCATAAAGGTGATTTACCTAACCATATGTCCTGTGTCTTAACTAAAGGTTTCAAGAATGTATTTTCAAAATCATTTACTGAGACGGCTTCCCTGGTGTTTTCAGCTTACATTAGAATGTAATATGCTTACTTATAAATGTGATACCTTATAATTTGCTTGAATTGAATGTCTTCCTTCAAAACTATATTTTAAATATGTATTTTCAAATCACCCCACAATAGATATGAAACCCAAATACATAAACTTCATAAACCTTACTTTTGTGTACATATTAAAGGTAGGTATGGTTTTCATATTACATATATCCTGTTTTGTTATATTTTGGCTCTTCTATAATATTTAATGATACTTTATTAATCTTAATATTTAGATTTATTTTGTAAATTTTTCTCACTGTTAGGTACCAAGCTTAAGGCCTTGTGCTTTGTAGAGAAAATTCCAACACTGAGATGAATTCCTTAGCTTCTAAGATCTATAATATATATTATATATAATATCTCATAACTAGTATATATAAGTAATAAGAAAAGAAATAACATTAACTTTCACTAGATTGAAAGATCTTAATTGGATCAAAAATCTTTGTCAACATTAACATCTCCTAGGTTACCCTTAATTACCTGGCTAAATTGACTTGTTATATTGTAGCCTAATTCTTGCAGAGACTTTTTACCCAGAAGCCATTTTTATATTTTGTTTATCATTGCCTAAGAAGAAAATTACTCAATCACTGGTTTCTGCATGTCTTTCTGCATGGTTTCTATATAGAAAACTAGGGGAGGAGGACTTTGAAACATGAAGATTTGTTAAGATGTGAAAAACAATAGATAAATTATACTTCACTTTATCTGTGATAAATATTTCCATTAATATGTCTACTCCTATTTTTTTAGAAGGTTAATTAGGAAAAAGCCCAAGTAACCCATTCTTCCAAATTAGTAGAAATTCTGAAGGATATTTTAATTGATTTTCAATATTTGGAATTAAGAGTAACATGCAACTTCTGTGCCATTAATATTTAAATAGCATATCAGTGATAATATAGAAAGCTTTAATTTAGTTAAATATAATAAAAACTTTCAATAGAGAGATTGCTAAAGAAAGGAAGTGACACTTATTCATATGTAAAGTTGATATAAAACATTTCTCTTTGTATTCTTAATTATAAAAGCTAAGTGTTAAAATCTGGATGAAAATTAATGACAATCATGTTTTAGAAAAACTTAAATTTGTTTTAAAGATGTTGAAACCAAAACACTAATCTCTGGCTAGAATTGTGTATACTTCCCTTATACAAAGATTCAGGTACTTACAAGCACATCTGCTTTTCCACTCAGTCCCTTCCCGTAGTCATCTGTTGCAATAACTTGAAATTTGAAGTAAGATCTCCTCATATTATGGAAGAGCATAGCTGTTTTGATAAGCCCGGTGTATGTTTCCACCACAAATCCTTCTTTCCCCTCTTTAATAGGTGGTATTATGAGTCTGTATGCCATGGCACTATAATTGCCAGTATCTACATCAGTAGCCTGGGAGGAAAAATGAGATATCAAAAATCAACAGGTAAAGGTTAACCTTCATTGAAGGGCTTGTTTCTGTCTACAAGATTATTGTAGGGCTGGGAAGGTGACTCAATGGTAAAGTGCTTGTCTTGCATGCTTGAGGCCCTGGGTTTGATTCCTCAGGACCACATAAGGATAAAAAGCCAGCAGTGGCACTGTGGCTCAAGTGGTAGAGCAGTAGCCTTAAGCTAAAGAGCTGAGGGACAGCGCCGAAGCCCAGACTTCAGACCCCATAATGGACAAAAAAAAAAAAAAAAGATTATTGTTTCCTGGGTAATAACACAATTCACTCTGTTTATCCAAATAACTTTATGTGTATGTGTGTGTGTGTGTGTGTGTGTGTGTGTGTGTGTGTGTACTTTGAGTCTTCATTGATGAATAGATGTTTTTAGAATGGTAGTGACTATCAATATAATGGACATATTACAACCCTCAATCAATTAAGATTTTTGATAGGTATGTTTGATGAGTTTAATTCTAGGTAAGTTCTGACCCAAACTGATTAACATGTATGATTTATTGTTTACCCAAAGATTGTCTTTGTGTAATACATATAAGGTTATTGTGCTTGGGTTCTAGCATATAACCTAAAGGAAAAAAAGAAATAGAAGATTATAACAACATAACTTAAATAACATAATGTAAGTCAAAGTTCAGATATTTTAACAAGTTGATTTTGGGATACATAGAGAAATTGTAATCAGTTAATGCTATTACATAATAATAGCAGATTAGATTGATTGATTCAATTTCTTTTTAATTATCCTATATCCTGATTATAAGATTTGTTCCTGTTGATAGATAATTATGACCAACAGACTGAACTTTCTTCCCATTTAAAATAAAAAAGGAATAACCTTTACTTACAATCCCTTTTTAAAATTATACAACTATGAACAAAATATGTCATTTTGGTTCTTCAGTCATGACTAAAGGAAACTTTTTCAGAATGTCAATAGTGAAATATTTGGAAAGGGAATGGTAAGCAGAAGAAATAAAATATTGCCACAGGAATCTATACAGTATTCATGAAAATAGATATATTACATATGTGTTTTAATGTATAATTAATGTCATTGCATAGCTGTTATCATCAGTGAAAATACTAAGTATTATATTTATGATTTTTCATTACAAGAATTTGAAAACATTTATTCAATAATAAAAAAATTTGACACATACTCCAATGGAGCAGAAGATCCAGAATAAACCAATATAAATTCTGCCATCAGATTCTTGACAAACATGCCCCCAACTTACATTGAAATAAAGATACTTTCTTTTAACACATGTAGTGCTAGAACAACTGGATATCCACATATAGAAGACTAAAGGCAGATCCTTATCTCTCATGCTGTAGAAAAATTACTCAAAATGAGTCTAATACATTAGTAAAAGATCTGAAACTACAGGAAAGCCTAAGTGAAACCTTTAAGCTTCATGGATAGGCAACACTTTCCTGAATAGGAGGTCCAATAGCTCAGAAAATTATAACAGGAATTGACAAATGGGATTGTACCCATTATGAAAGCGTTTGGACAGTAAAAGAAGTAAGTGAATGAAGAGAGCTTATGGAATAGAAATCAAAGTCAGCTATTTCACTACCAGGAGTTTTCCAGAATAGGTAAAGACCTCAAATTTATACATCAAAAGACAAAGAATCCAAAGAATAAGGGGAGCAAACTCAATCTGCAATGAAACAGTGCAAATAGCAAATAGATACATGAAAAAAGTTATCTTTAACTATAAGGCAATACAGATTGAACCTACAGTGGAGTAACGTCTTACTCAAGACAAAATGGTTCCCTTTTTTGTCATTTAACAAGGTAGTGTATGAATACAAAATATCTTACTCAATGCCACCACCCCTTTCAACATTCTCACCCATCCCTCCTCTACTCACAGCTTCCCTCTCTCTTGTTAATTTGTAGGATATACTTTGGAATATTGTGTGCATTCTGGTCCTCTTTTCCTCTACATTTGTCTACCCCTTTCCCAGACCACCTTTTTATTTTATTTTATTTTATTTTATTTGGGAGTTCTGGGGTTTGAACTCAGGGCCTGAGCACTATCCCTAGCTTCTTTTACTCAAGGCTAACACTCTACTACTTGAGCCACTTCCAGCTTTTTCTGTTTATGTGGTACTGAGGAATCAAACCAGGGCTTCCTACATGCTAGGCAAGCACTCTACCACTAAGCCACATTCCCAGCCCCCATCCCACCTTTTATGAGTACGCTCTTCTTGGTATTTTATTTTGCTGAAATTTGATTTTTGGCTTTCTAAGAAATTATGCTATTCAAGAGATATCCCTTTGATCTATCATATTTCAGTTCAGACTTTCATACACACTTGCTTGCCAATGTATTCACTTATGAGTTCATAAGCTAAATCCAGCTAGATGTAGGGAAAGCATGTATCTCTTGTCTCTTTGAGCCTGACTTACTTCAGTTAACATAATGTTTTCCAAGTGTTTCATTTCTTTACCAGTGGCACAATACCATTCTAATGAATGAGTGAAATTCCATTGTGTATATATACCACATTTTCTTGATCCAGCCAAGATATGGAATCTGCCCAGACACCCTTAGATCAATGTATCAGATGATTTCACAAAATTAGACAGGATGACAAAGTTAGAGAGTTTGCATTGTTTGCATAGCTGTTATTATCAGTGAAAATACTAAGTATTATATTTATGATTTTTTCATTACAAGAATTTGAAAACATTTATTCAATAATAAAAACAGCTACGCAAACAATTGCAGTTATTTAGTGTGGAATAAAGTAGGAAGATTGTGTTCTGAGCAAGCAGAGCCAAAAGTTCAAGACCCTAACAAAAAATAAAATAAAATAAGTAAAAAGGACTAGGAAGCATGGCTTAAGTGGTAGTGTGCCTTGCATGAGGTTCTAAGTTCAAACCCCAGCATTCCAGAAAAATTAATGTATAATACAGCTACAATATCACTTGGTATACATAGAAAAGAATCAGAGTGAGTTTTTCTCTAAGGCTACCTGAAAACCCATGTCTATTGCTGCAATATTCAAAAGGGTCATATATGCTATCAACCTAAGTCTCCTTCAGTGGATATAGAAAATACATCTCCTTCAGTGGATATAGAAAATACAGGATGTATGTTCACTAGAGTTTTATTCAGTCGTAAAGAAGGAAGAAAAATATTTTGTTTGTAAGGTATTTTATTGAGCTAGAAATCCTCATGTTACATGAAATAAGCCAGTCTCAGAAAGATGTTTTATCTGTTTTCTCCCATTTGTAAATTTAGGGGAAAAGATACGCTAGAAAAATACATTAAGGATGGGGAAAAACAAATTGTTTAAATAGGGATACAGGTGTACAAGACATTATGTCGAAAAATGAACTTTACAACTACGGCAGGGGGCGGGAGGGGGTGGGAGTGGACCGCGCGGAGGGGGGGGGGTCCGCGGGGGGGGGGGGGACGGGGCAGGAATGGGAGGGGGGAGATGGGAAGGGATGGGAAGGGGAAACAAAGGAGGAGGAAACAATGCTTGATAAAAAATGTACTCATTACATGGCTCACGTAATTGTAACCCCTCTGTATGGTATTTTCACAATAAAAAAAAAAATAAAGATGCCTTAAGAAAAAAAAAGAATAATACATTAAGAATGTGAAAGATGAAGGAAGAGAGAATGATAAGAAAAATTTGGTAGTTCATTTTTGCTTGTATAGAAATGTTCAACAAGAAATGTACTCAATACCTTACTTATGTAACTGTAATCCTTCTGACAACACCCATAAAATAAAATAAAAATATAAAAAAATGGTACAATGGAATTGAGTTTATTGTGCATTAAATATATGCTAAAATTTTAAGCAAAATCTCTTTGAGGAATGTTTTGTTTCATTTATATTAATGAATAATGAACAAAATGATAATTCTTGGATGATATTCTCTGCACTATAATGGGTACTAGCCAGATATAATTATCCAATATTTTAATGAATATAGATATCAAAGTGAAATTCTAATTAGATTCAATTAAATTTAAATAATCAATGAATCTCTAATAAGTTGTACAGTTGTCATACAAACAATAGTAGTAAAGGCATATTTGCAATACTAGAAAATTATAGAATGAACTTGACTTTACTTCAAATTCTCTATATGTGTTGACCATGTGAAATGTTTCCAGAAAGTACAAAAAGATTTAAAATTGATGTAATTTGAGTTAAAATGTTGGTAATACACTAAATTTTAACTTTTAATTAACATATAAATTTCTCCTAAAATTATTTATTGTTACTGTGAACTTTATTGAAATACAACATACATCTTAAAATGTATACATATTACAAAATATACCCCAAATGCATATTTTAGCAGCATCTGCTTCAATGACAATGAACACAACCAGTCTACAAAATGCATTCATGACATTTGAGCCATCCTCATCTCCCTCAGAAAAACTGCTGTCTTGATTTATATCATTGTTTAGTTATGTCTGCTTTTAAACTCCACATTGTTGCAACCAGTTAATACATTCTACTGTAGGTCTAAAATCTTTCATTTAGTTTTGTTGGTTGGACTCAAAGGCTTTTCATTTTAAAATCAATGTTATCCAACAGTACAATCACATTCAGAAAAGAAAGTATGGTGATTGTTTGCTACATTAAGCCACTTTACACAGTTCCTACTGATTAACTTCCAATTTCAATAACCATTTTCATTTTGCACTGTTCCTAATTCATTAAATTATGATAACTACAAAATAGCTATAGTTCATCTTAAATGATTAAAATGCTTTTTGTCAAATGTCTTTCCTGAAACAAATGTTGAATGTGCTGTTGAATGCACATACTTGATATTGTACTTAGGAGCAGTGAAACAGATTTTCATAGTACATAGTACAATATGTACAATAGTACATAACTTATAACAAATATACTATTCAGGATTTAAACCTAGTTAGAAAGACTTAAATTTAATT